ACATCAATCAGAAAGTCCAGTGTGGAAGTGTTAGTATCGATCAGCTTCAGATCGATCACACTAGTAAAGAGGCTTTCTCTGTCCATCTATCACGCCCTCTGATTTACTGTTAGAAATCATGTAAATAATATCATTAGGGAGTTTTTTGTCCAAAATTGTGATTATTATAGTAAGAGTTGCATAATAGTCTAATGGCCACAAAACATATCGATAGCAAGGTCAATATTTTAATTCTGAAAGGGATTAGCAAACGGTGATTCCAGCAACCAGGGAATTAATCTCTTTTTGTGTGTTTCAACATGTAGTTTATGCTTGTATGCGTTCGTGCAAGTGAATTAGAACGTGCATAAGTAACTAAGTTTTTTAAAGAATACATGTGCATCACTTGAGAGCTCTGTGGTTCTATCGCGTTACTTGAATGCAACGACTATGAATACGAAATTCTCCGTTGATAATTACAAACTCATTCATAGCCAAAAAGACTGATTGCTTCGCCAAAAATCATTGCTTAAGTGTTCTACTTAGAGGCTTGTGTTATAACCTTGACATAATTATTCGTGACCCATTTACCTGGCTATCGACGTCGACCTGTTTTAGTATTCAGTGAATGAGATTACATTTTAAAATTATTCCGCAGTCGTTGCCTTGAAGGATGTAGAGTGATGATATCGATCAATTCCGTGAGATATATGTGCCTTACATGTGATATTCATGAAATATGTCATTCTCTTCACGCATTCGAATTTGTCAATTTACTCGTTATCACCTGACCTTTGAGCTCATCATGTATTAACGTACAATGTATATACATGTATATGGCTATTGATCGACTTTGACCTTTGTTTAACTATAGATTGATTAAACAAAATTGTTAAATATTTGAATCTGTCGATGTTATCAACGTGAAGTAAACTGGACCATTCCGAATCCATGACCTTTGTCTTACTTATCACGGGGCTTTAGGACGACCCTAAATCTCCAAACCCTAAACCAAAAACCCAAACCGAAACTCAATCCCAAATCCAAACACCAAAACCTAAAGCAATACCAAAACCAAACAAACCCGAACCAAAACCAAAACCAAACCAAATCATAATCCTTAACCAAAACCTTAAACCATAAACTAAACCCAAACCCAAACTAAACCAAACCATAGCCCAAAACCTAAACCAAAACCCCAAAGCATAGCCCCAAACCTAAACCAAAACCCCACACCAAACCAAACCATAGCCCAAAACCTAAACCATAACCCCGAACAAAACCAAACCATAGCCCAAAACCTAAACCAAAACCCCAAACCATAGCCCAAAACCTAAACCAAAACCCCAAACCAAACCAAAGCATAGCCCAAAACCAAAACCAAAACCCCAAACCATAGCCCAAAACCTAAACCAAAACCCCAAACCAAACCAAAACCAGGCCCCAAACTAAACCAAAACCCCGAACCAAACCAAATGAAACAAAACCAAAACCCAACGCACACCATACCCAGTCCAAACCAACCATAACCCTGAACCAATCCAAACCAATCCATAACTCCAAAACCAAACCCCAAACCAAACCAAACCAAAAACCCGAACCGAACAAAACAAAGCCATAACCCAAAACCAAAACCAATACAAAGCCCCAAACAAACCAAAACCTCGAACCAAAATAATGAAATCAAAACCAAAACCCAACCGAAAACCGAGCCCAGCCATGTCCAACCCAGTCCAACCCAACCAATCAGCTGGCAAAAGACCTGTGTGTGTATATAAGAGTTTTGGCCAGCACCATCATGCTGACATCAGTCCACCACCAACTGTGGTCATTACATGGGATCTTTGACCTCAGCAGTAATTTCCGATTCAGGCGGTAGTCGATATTGCCTCGCTATGACGTGGAAGTGTCTAAATATCAACTTTGGTCAAATTCAATTAATGTTTATTCTAAGTAATTGCCCTGAAGCGATTGCCAGAGCTTTCCTAGACTTTTACGTGACATTTGACCTTCATAGATTTATATTAGCTTGAACAGATGTGACTGGTTATCTAACTGGCTTTGACATTCGCAGTCTACGGCCAAATCTACATCAATCTGTTATCCGAACAGCATACGACACTCCGGAAGCCCGTGGTCATCGGTCAAAGGCAGAGCTATTGACTGTACTGGGTTGCCTCCCTTTGTTATTCCAATCCAAGATTCGCTTTCATCATGTTCCACTATTCAGTACAAAGGCTGTGTCCGTTTGTTTTAACAAAGTGGTAATCCCCACGACCCCACTGTGACTTTCCTTGTTCAACGTTTGACTGGTCAGTGAGTGGCATCCAATACATTATCACCCTTGTATTGAAATAGCTTTCTTGTCTCGGGTAATGCGACATCTGTAAATTAGTTTGCTGGCCTAGTGGTTAACGTGCAGTCACAAGTCATTCCTAGCAATTCTAAACAGAAAGAAAAACAGGAGCACAAGTCAGCAGCAAGAAGTGCTAAATCCTTCTTATTTAAGTCATTGAAATTTGACGGAGGAGTTCTCTCCAATGACGAGAGCGTTTTACATAGATAGCGAGACTGGTCAATGGCCTTTATTGTTCTTGTCACGCTACCCTTGAAGATGAAGACAACCGGAGATAGTTGCCTGTGTTGACTGTGCTTACATCTGCTGTACTTTGGACTATTTCCGTGCTTCAGTAAATTCAATAGCTTCAAGATGAAATATATTTCACTTATGACACGCAAACGAAGAAACAAATATTAAATCATGAAGGGTATTGATTTTGGTTATTAATATAGATGATTTTTACATTTTGAAATATCAAGGGTCGTATGATTTTAGTACGAATGGGAAATTTAATTAATCTGCTGACCATCTTCATATCACTCAATGGAATATGACACTAATGAAATATGTTTTTTCTCTGAAAAAAACTGAAGTGAACGGGAAACCGTTTTCAAAGGCTTTCGCAGTTTCACGTTGCCCTTGTCCCACATCGGATCTAAAATAGGTTTTCTGATGTTGATAGCAGTATCGCAATCCGAGATATGATCACACTGCCATCACCATCTGTATAACCATAAGGTACATTCCAAATATGACCGCCAGCGTCGCTGCTGTAATGTTCATAAATGGTTATCCCTATTACCTAATTCGTTATCATCATTTTTATTCATTATATATTTAGTTCCTATTGTGTTATATCTGCCGTAATAAATATACGTTATATCGAAGTATGCCTTTTTGCAGTCAGAATCATGCTCTATGTAACTGGCATTTTTGTACTTGGCATCATATACATTTGAGTTCCTTGTTAGTGTAATTTCAAACATCTTCACTTCTTTAAAACAATTGTTACATTATGTAATTTCAGGGGGTTTAAAATGACCTTGTAAAGATCACTGCCTCTTTTTAAAAGGGCAATAACCGCCATCTGCCTTATGACATTTTCACGACTTCTTCTCACACGAAAAACTAAATGTGGAACTACTTTTGAATTTGAATGACTTTTCAACCATCTTGCACTTGAAAAAAATCATGACCATTAACCCTCAAAGAAGAAAAAATACACATAGCTCGTTTTAAAGTCAATTTCAATCCTATGTAAATTATTTTCAATTACGCAAGGTGTATTACAGCACCGCCTTACGTCATAGTTCACAGTCGTTAAATAAGCCACGCCATGGGCTTCCAACAACCTTGAAATCCAACTGTAAACGAAGTCGGTATCGATTCTCTTAAAGGAGCTTACAGCTACGAGATCTACGCAAGAGAAGTGAAGTCACGGATGTGCTACTTGTTATCTGCTTACTGCCGGTACGTGACAAACACATTGGTTAAGAACGTGACAATCACGCTTGATGATGCTGTGACACGGGTACAGTATTGAATCACACAATATACTGTATGTTCATACATAGAGATTATTATATGAGTGCCCATGTCATACACGAGTGCCTAAATGTTGGTATTTCCCGAGCGAGAGCGAGGGACATACCGATATTTAGGCACGTGTCGTAAGCATAGTATGATATGGGCACGAATATAATATTCTATTTATTACCTAAGTCGTCAAATTGAGGAAAATAAACCCAAATCTACTTTAAAACATAGGCTGGCTACCCGCCGTCTCCGCATATAGAACGCAACGTCACAGAAGAAACGTGACGTCATAGCATTGCTCATGACGTCACGTCATCATGACAAAGTGATATTTTGCCCTAGGGCATCGTATGAAAAATATGAACCCCGATATTTTTGCCCTCGTAGTTAATAAAAGTTAATATTGTGAAGAAAACGACTGAAAAGTCTGTGGAGTCTGACCACCCGACCCAGTTAGTGTCGCCTCTTACGACAAGCCTGGGTTGCAGAAAACCAGTTCCAAACCGGCTGAAATGTACTTAGTCCCATAGGCGCGGTGGGAAAGCCTAGTGGTCAAAGCGTTAGTTCGTCACGCCGAAGACCTGAGTTCGATTCCCCACATGGGTACAATGTGTGAAGCCTACATGTCTCTGGTCTCCCCCGCCGCGATATTGATGGAATATTGCTAAAAACGGCGTAAAACTAACCGGCCAAAGTAAGTGTCTATATTTGCTGGTGGTCATGACAGTTTTAGCTTTCGGAAGATTGATTAAAGGTCACATGCAGTTACATAGGGCAACTCTTTTCACACACAACATGCTTAAACATCAGTCAGCACAAAATACAGGCGATACCCATGTCGTGCACGAGCTTAAAGAGTAGCGCGAACTTGAGGCACATGTTGTGTACTTACCGGTGTTTCTTAAAAGCAATGTCATTATTTGTGTGTGATATAGATACACTGTCAAGTGTGGCACGAACACAGCAAACAAGGTGAGCTCCTTGTCGTGCACGACCTTTTCGTGGTACTAACACTGAAAAACTAGGCGAGGTCCTTGTTGTCCACGAGCTTTTCGTGGCACTGTAAGTTAACACTGCAAATTAGGTGAGTTCCTTGTCGTGCACGAGCTTTTCGTGGCACTAACACTGCAAACCAGGTGAGCTCCTAGGCGTGCATGATCTTAGCGTGACGCAAGAACTGCAACACTGGTGAGTCGTGCATGAGTTTGTCGTTCTACAGTTTGTATCAATTTATTGCACAATCATAACCCTTGTAATATAACGTCATATGAGGTTCCTTGTCTGCCTCCCTTACTCATCAAATACCAAATTGAATTCTAATATCTTTAAACCTTTCATTTTGAAATGCTTAACAACCATATTGTATGCCAGAACACAGCGATCGTTATTCTGACTGTATTTTTCCCCCAATAAACATTTCAAGTCAATCTTCTTTCGCAAAGTTTCCTGTCCAGTTTAGCACCCAAAAGACATTACCCTAAGTTGTCTTTGCAGTGTCCTTTATCGTTTCGAAGACCACGTATACCTTCGAGACCAACATCACACAGAAAACATCCACATAATCCCAGACGCCGAAATAGATTAATCATTGCAGTTTTCAAACTAGTGAAATGACGTCACGTGACGGGCACAGCTAGGGGCTCCATTTTCGCTTGTGTTTGAACTGGTCAAGACAAAAGTCGTATAATTTCTGAACAAGCAAGTGTTAGGTTAGCTCCTGGGCGTTGCAAGAAGAAACACTGAACTAATCACATCAGTCGTCAAGCACTCACGTCAAGGGAACGCTTGTAATACATTTGGCAAATAAATTCGATTGGAATGGTTCTTCGTGCCGAGGTTTTCGTATTTGTGGTGAACCCCTTGTGTGGACGGACAGATACCTTGTGTAATGGCGATGCGGTCTTTGTGATAAGGAATAGCGGCTCGCAATTATTTTACTCGCGGCATTTACGATCGATTGCCTTTGGAAGTGTATCTACTCTATCTACACGCAGGGGCAACGTTTATCCCTTGGACCACCCAATAGGGAATGCCGGGTCAGAACAAGCACCAATTAGCCCCTCAAACGTGTAAAGTGTTCAAATAGTCACACGTTTGACCAGACTGGTTGTACATGGACACCGACGGCGTGGATCGTCGCGCATGATATCAACCACTAGATGGCATGGCCCAGATTCGATAATGGACACGTAGTGGAAATGTGGCAGGAACATATCATGTGGCTTAAAGGAGTGAGTGAGTTTAGTTTAACGTCGCACTCAGCAATATTCCAGCTATATGGCAGCGGTCTGTAAATGATCGAGTCTGGACCAGACAATCCAGTGATCAACAGCATGAGCATCGATCTGCGCAATCGGGAACCGATGACATGTTTCAACCAAGTCAGCGATCCTGACCACCTGATCCAGTTAGTCGCCTCTTACCTGGGTTAAAGGAACACTCATTCAGTTGGTCCAACATTAATGGGTACAACAAGGACTGGTCGGCTCGGAGTCAGTATTATGTGTCTGAGTGGGGTATTCATGGTTCACTGCGGCATGGTATCTCAGGGGGCTAGCACTATAAAACCAGGTTAAGTCTGGGCTAGTACAAGCAGCCGCACATACACATACACACGCATGCACGTCGTCATATGAGCGAAATATTCTCAAGCACGAGGTTAAACCGAATTTCACCTCACCTCACCTCACCTCACCTCACCTCAGTTGGTCCATGTCTTGTTTGTTTGTCTACCGCACTCAGCAATATTCCAGCTTCGTGGCGGCGATCTGTAAATAATCGAGTCTGGACCAGACAATCCAGTGATCAACATCTACGCAATTGGGATACGATGACATGTTTCAACCAAGTCGATCCCGTTAGTCGCCTCAAGCTTACGCTACGCATGGGTTCTGAAGACCAATTCTAAAACCCGGATTTTCACGACCGTTGGTCAAGGTCGTTGTTGCAATGGATGTTTGAGGGATAGATGGCGTGATTTAGCTACCTCAAGAATAATTCTCCTTACCTGGCCATATCTGGATTTATATAGCAAGAAGCATTTCAGAAGAGTGAGTGAGTATGATTTTACGCCGTTTTAGCAATATTTCGGCAATATCACGGCGTGGACACCAGAAATGGGCGTCACACGTTGCACCCACGTAGGGAATCGAACCAGGGTCTTCGACGTGACGAGCGAACACTTTAACCACTTGGCCACAGTCCTGCATTTCAAGAACTATTTCGTTATAACGAAATAGGCAAGACATGATATCAGCATAATGACTTTTTAAAACAAATGGTTTTCTGTTTGGCAATATGTTTAATAAGCAGATTTCGAACGTACAACAACAACAACTTGCAATTAAAGAATTTATACTCCTAACATCAAGCACTGGGATTCAGGATTAACACTGTTTCCGCTAAAATATCTCTATTCAAACTTCAGCATTTCTTATAACTGAACAGTCTTTTAATATCTCGCGTTCATACTTTAAGTGTTTATGTCGTAAGATCCGGAGTTTTAAAGTCAAAGTTTTTCAAGAAGTCCAAGAATTTTACCCATGTGAGGACGGTTCATCTCAAATGTGTCCTGAGATTGATTACAACCCATCGTGCAATATCAATAAATAAGTATTTAAAAATTGTTCAAACTATGGTTGATTAAAGTTTTAACTTCCCATTTATCGGACAAGACAGATTTTCTCCTCAGATAAACACGCCAATTCATCACGAGGCGCTCCCCTGCAGATGATTGGCTTTGTGATTCCGCCACACGGCCAGCACAATCAGAACACAAAAACGTGTTCAGTGTTGTCCTTTGCTGCTCACATCAGTTCATATTACACAAAGTTGATGTATTATGGCAAACAAGATTTGAGCTCCCATTTGTCTGCAATTTCCAAGTTTTGTTGATCATGAAAACATGTTTACTGATGTTCTCGTTATAGGTTTCAGGAAAGTCGTATGAAGTTTGATGGCCGGAAATGTTACTTTGAATATGCTTTTATGGTGTTTTCAACGGGCTGCCGAAGAAAGTGTCACCAATTATATGTTTACAATGAATCCTTCATCATCCGTATACGTGTTATATTTGTACAGCGAGGATACAGCTTTTTTGAAGAATGGGTGCATTTTGTGATCACAACATGTGCCGAATGATTGGAAGCAATTTGCGTTTGGAACTCTGGTTGTTAGTGGTTATATAACCAAACGATGATTTAGTTATAGCGTTGTAGACGGCCCTACCAATCACCTATATGACTTTAAAATGTATAAATATTTGGAAGGCAAAATAAAACCCATACTTCAACAATATTTCGGTGCGGTACAGCGTGTCAGCTTACTAAGGATACAGACTCAAAGTTGTCGCTTGTCGAAAACATTCGACACTTTGGTGACACCCTCAAGCCTTGTCATGGTGTAAATAGACTTTGGTTAGACTCATTCTTTGAGTGAGTGAGTGTGTGAGTTTGGTTTTACGCTGATTTTAGCAATATTCCAGCAATATCACGGCTGGGGACACTTGAAATGGGCTTCACAGATTGTACTCATCTGGGGAATCGAACCCGCGTCTTCAGCGTAACAAACTGAGATTTGTGGAGCGTACCCTTGCTATTTAGGAATACTTGAAGTGAGCTGCTGTACCTAGGGACACTTGAAAAATACAATTATATGACTGTTTAAATGACGTGATGAATATTTACATAAACTGAATTTAATGAAAACAGTTTATCAAATCAGATATTAAGACTTATTTTCCATATTTTCTACCATTTTTTAAAAAACTGGCGAAGGGTGCTTCTATTCATGATTACCTGATCCAACGTTTCTTTGCGATGTTCTGTATGCGCCACTGAATGTTTCCTATTGTTCCAGTGTGACCCCGGTATTGGAACTGATGCCTTCTATGACCTGATATACCGGAAGCCGAAGATGACAATGGTTATGGGGAGCGCCTGCACTGAGGTCACTAAGATACTAGCCGAAATAGTGCCTTACTGGAATCTCATTCTTGTAAGTATAATGAAAGTCTCACACAAAACGAGCATGAATACATGACACGTCTTTATGGATAACAACTTTTTCATTCTTTACACGACGTTTCAGAGCTAATTCTTGCTCTTTCCTGCTGAATGCTGAGTGCACAGAGTGAATACTTATAGATAAAACATGTTTACACAACGCAAGGTAGGAGATTGTACAACGATAACAATAATGATGAAAGATCAGGAATTAGCTCTGAAACGTGGAATAAAGAATAAAAAGAAGTTGTTATCCATACAAACGTGTCATGTATTCACACAAAACAGTAAAGACACACACATGTTTACACAACGGCAACACCATCACATCGGGTAAATGAATTCGGATATTGTAATGTATCATTAACAACTAAAAACCGAAAGTCACGTGAACCTCAAAGAAATAATATATACTTATGATGTACACATCGGGATTACATTTTGGTTCGGTCTATGGTTTGAATCGCTGACTCTATCAAACAAATGTTTATATTACAAACATTTTAAAGCGCAAATAAGTTTGGAGTGGTACCTCTCTCAGATAACAGTGACTGAGTAAAGAAGTTCCCAGTTGCATTATCACGTTTTGATGTTCATCTGCTGATTTATTTATAGAAACTGGACGCGTTACTAATATATCCAGAGAGACTATGCCAACTATGTGATTTAAATACTGTTGAGGATGAGTACCATTTCCTTCTTGTTTGTCTACTGTACTCAGATCTTAGATGAAAATATTTAACCAAATCATTTTTTATAGATATCCAAACGTTATTAAATTTATATCATTACTAACAAGTACACACATTTTAATACTTCAGAATTTATCAATGTTTATATTCTATGCAACATTACAAAGAAAGAAAAATAAAATTATTTTTGAAAAAACGTAAAAAGTTACTACTCGGGCGATTATATATGTATGTATGCTTTATGTACTATAGGCCTGTGGCCTCTTCAGTAGGAAATAAAGTTTGAGTAATATAGTTTGGTCTATCATATATCTGTAATTATAATCTGCGTTGTTCCCGTAGTTTACTATGGGTTCAAACTCAGGAGCAGCAGTCACTAGTATTTGTTTCAATAACCTGATTAAATATTATCGCAATTGTTCTTAAGGATACCCATGACTGGTATCGTGAGATCGTTGTTGTCGGAGTCCACTTATAATGCGTTATAAATTACGGGGTACTCATTTGTACAAATTATGGCACAGCTGGAATCGACAACAACTAAAATCTCCTTTCCACGATAATTACAGAGGCTCCCAAATGTTCAGTGGTTGTGTAAAAAATCCATCGTTTTACCAACGGCTCAGTGATAAGACTGTAATTTTGCATTCGAGATTGCCTCTGAGCGGAGGTGCCATTATAATGATACAAGTAGAACGAAATGACTACTTTCATATTGATTGCCTTGGAGCTTTCTGAGACCAATGCATACTTAAGGAAAAAGGAACTGTAATCGTATAGATGTATTAGTAACAGAAAATAGTCATTTTAATGACGGAACGATGCGTCAAAGAAATATCTCTGAAATGTTGTTTGCACCAAGCACATATATAATCGAAAAGTTGAATCAAGGTGAGATTTAAATGAATATTGCTGTGCTCAAATATATTCCTCAGATACAGATGATACAGATATGGTTCTGAATTCATTAAGGTTTGGAGGGGGGCGGTGGGGTAGCCTAGTGGTTAAAGCGTTCGCTCGTCACGCCGAAGACCCGGGTTCGATTCCCTACATGGGTACTATGTGTGAAGCCCATTTCTGGTGTCCCTCGCCGTGATATTGCTGGAATATTGCTAAAAGCGGCGTAAAACTAAACTCACTCACTCACTCATTAAAATTTGGTGACTAACCAGATGTTATGGTAAAGATCTTGGTTGATGTATGTCATCATATCTGGTTTCTGTAGATAGATCCTCATGATGTAAAACACTGTCCGATCCAGACTCAATTATTCACCCACTACCGCGGAACATTGCTAACTTCCGCGTTAAACAACAAAACAATCCTAAACACTGGTTATTGCGACGTTACACACTTCTAGAACGCCGCCTTGTGGAAGCTCATTGTAACCTGTGGTAAGGACTGACGCCTGATGGAACTGACAGACATTCGATGGAAGTCACACAATGACATATAGAATGAAAATCACAAATGATGGAACTGGTGAAACTGACAGGCACCCATGGAACTTGCAGACGCCTGATGGAACAGATCGACTCTCGGAAGTTGGTGTACATGATGGAAATGACAGATGCCTGATGCAACTAAAGATGTTCTCGCTTGACAGACGCTTGACAGACCACTTTATAGAACCGATAGACGCCAGAACGTCTCCATGTGGGAGCATGCACATATTTAAATATATAGATACCTAAGTGAACTACCCGTGAAGATCCGGGTTATAATTGGTCTTCAGCAACACATGCTGGTTCTATTAAGAGGCAACGATTTGATCGGGTGGTCAGGATGGCTGATTCGTTCACACGTGTCATCGTATCCCTATTGTGTAGATCGATGCTCATGATGTTGATCACTGGATTGTCTGGTCCAGATTCGATTATTTACAGACCGTCGCCATATAGCTGGATTATTGCTGAGTGCGGCGTTAAACAACGGCCAATGAAATGAAATGAAACATTATGGAACTGACACGTATATGCTGGACGAAACTGGAGGATACCGGATGGAAATGGTATATACCTACAAAATAATATTAAATAAAATACATATTGTACTCCTAATTATACAGATACCTTGTTCCTAGTAATACCAAATCGGTTCAGGCGACAACATTCACTGGCACTGAGTTGAATATGCATTTGTAACCGTTGTAACGTAGGTTTGAATGACAGATTCATAACGGTTGGAACCTTTGGTCTGTCAACCCTGATAGTTGGTTTCTCCGACGTGTAACCGTCTAAGACTTGCCTCACTTCGGAATTCCATCCTGACTTAAGACTACGGCGTGACATAACTGCAAGAAAAACAAACTTCAAAAAGCAAACAAACTCACTACTCCACTGCACAAACCTATCACACTGTGTTGTTCAAGCAGAGAATGGCGGCAACAAACGTACAACACTTACAATACTTAATGCTACAAAACCAAGTCGAGACATTCCTCGTTTAAAGTCTGTGAAGAAATACAAGTAATGAAATTTCAGAGCTGTCATTTGGTTGTACCAAACAATGATTGCGTAAAGGCAAATCCAAACTAATTAGATTGAAAGCGTTAGGTAGACACGCTCCCCCTGATGTGTGTTGTCGATTTCCTTTCAACACTCAATCTTTAATTTCAATCCTGACAAGGAATCAGCATTGCTATTGGCTTTGCAACAATCACTCCGTCTTGAGACTGTTGTGGAGGAGAAAATAATTGGCCGTTGACAGTAGGTCGCGAGAGGTCCTCGTGAGTCAAGTAGATACTTTCCACTACCTCCCTCAGCCTCAGGGACCAGTTTCACTGAGAACCAGGGTGTCCAATAGAGCATGCCTCATACGAAATTCGGGGCGGTGGGGGCAGCCCAGTGGTTAAAGCGTCGCTCGTCACGCCGAAGACCTGGGTTCGATTCCGCACATGGTACAATCGCCGTGATATTGCTGGAATATTGCTAAAAGCGGCGTGAATGTAAACTCACTCACTAATGACAAATCCCGGTACTGAATTACGCAAGATCATCTTTGAACGACCCCAATTGTGTGTATAATATAGTTTTTGCAGCTTGAGTTTTTATATTCGTTGAATTTGACAGTTGTCATGTCCGTGGGTACAATGCGTGAAGCCCATTTCTGGTGTCCCCCGCCTTGATATTGCTGGAATATTGCTGAAAGCGGCGTAAAACCATTTCCGGAAATAAATACGCTAATGTTGACATGATGTGGATATTCATGTTCAAGTGTAGTCAAACACACTTATGTCGAACTTACGTTTGTCTCGAAGTAAACTCAGAAAACCTCTGTTGTGTCGAACACGAAAAAGTTACGTAGGTCCCTTCAACTTCGACCCCACGGTGTTAGGTAGTATGGCATTGTCTATACAAGTGTTAATTGTGTCCGTTAAGAAAAATGAACTAAAAGAAAAGTATATCAGGGAGTTGTGTAAACGGGAAACTTGAGATCAAGTTAGATTTTGAATTCACAATGCTATTTAGGACGTAGTCAAATGTAACACATGGTATGTTTGAGATTACACTTTCTCAGTAAAGTACAGATTCTAGAACTTTTGCTGGGTTGAGGCCCATTCGGGATCGTGCCTCAGAGTTAGGCACCTAATCAGCAGCACACAAAGTCAGCCGTCATGGAGCCGTGCCATTTACACTGACCAGAGGTGTTAAGGTAGTGCTTCGCAACAGGGGTAATACAGAGAACAACCGTGCAAACAGCTGATGATGTCATTGTGATTGCTAATAACTTACCTGAATGTAGAGTTATAGTGAAGGTGGTGGTGGTGGTGGAATTGGGTTTAACGTCGTGCTTGAGAATATTTCGCTCATATGACGACGTGCATGCGTGTGTATGTGTATGTGCGGGTGCTTGTACTAGCCCAGACTTAAGCTGGTTTTATAGTGCTAGCCCAATGAGATACCATGCCGCATGAATACCCCACTCAGACACATTATACTGACTCCAAGCCGACCAGTCCTTGATGTACCCATTAATGCCGAGCGCCAGGCAGGGACCAACAAGTACCATATTTTAACGTGTTTTGGTATGACGCAGTCGGGGATCGAACCCGCGACCTTCCGCACTCCGGGCGGACGCTCTAACCACTACACCACGGAAGCGGTCTTATAGTAAAGGGGAGGTAAAGGTGATGACTACTGAAATCATCTTTGAATACCGGCTTTGTTGTTAAGAGACCACATTACTTACGCTTATAGAAAATAATCCTTGATAACGCATCATAGTAACACAAATAAATGTATTACATAACTGTGGTTGTCCAAAAGACATAGCACATCATTTACCCGTGAGACCGTTA